TTCAAGTGATCTACCTGCCTCAGCCTCCTAAAGTGTTGGGTTACAGGCATGAGCCACTGCTCCTGGCAGAATTTTTTTTTAAAGAGATGAGGTCTCACTCTTTTACCCAGGCTGGAGTGTAGTGGCACCATCATAGCCACTGCAGTCTCAAACTCCTGGGCTCAAGTGATCCTCTCGCCTCAGCCTCCTGTGTAGCTGGGACTATGGGTATACACCACTGTGCCCATCTCAAAATGACAGAACTTTTAAGCCTCAGATTTAACTGCTATTTGACAGGTTGTGGTGAGGGTGGGAGAACAGAATAGAGGGAACAAGGAAAAGCATATGCAAAGGCTCTGAGGCAGGAATGCATTTGGCAATTGCAAGGAACTGAAAGGAGACCATTAGACTAGAGTACATTAAGGGAGTGAGGGGCCCGGGGGCTGGAGCAGTGAGGACAGGACAATTGCACCTTTGGTCTTTCACCACTAAAGGGGCACAGTCACTCAGGCCCTGAGCTTTCTCCAGCTGCTGCCAGGATTTTAGCCCTTTAAGGGCTTCTGAGGATATGAAACTGAATGAAACTGCAAGGTGAGCTATTTTCTTATCTGGTGATCTCCAAACTGTCTAAAGAGTTATAGACCAAACACGATAGTTAAGTAGTCCCTGCTACTGAACAGAGTCCATCAGAAGACAAAGTTATAACAAAGAATAAGGCATTGCCTGTGTTGCTACGGTAAATATATTCTGTGGGGTAAGTCAAACATTAGAAATAATTCCTAACAACGGCACACAAGATGAGCTGTGCCAGAGATCCTGCCCATACTCTGTAATTCCCCAAAATTCTGTAATTAAAGCAAAAAAACCACCCAAACGATTTATCACTGCTATATGTCACCTTGCTCTGATACTATATCCAAACATTGCTAAATTATCAAGTTTTCTTTTTTTTTTTTTGAGACAGGGTCTCACTCTTGTCACCCATGCTGGAGTACAGCGGCGTGATCACAGCTCACTGCAGTCTTAAACTCCTGGGCTCAGGTGATCCTCCCATCTCAGCCTCCTGAGTAGCTGGGACTTCAGGCATGCACCACCATACCCGGCAAACTTTTGTATTTTTTGCAGAGACAGGGTTTCGCCACGTTGCCCAGGCTGGTCTCAAATTCCTGAACTCAAGCGATCTGCCCACTTGGCCTTCCAAAGTGCTGGAATGACAGGCGTGAGCCACTGTGCGCAGCCCCAAGTTTTCTAAGTATAAACAGAGCCAGACAACCCAGACAAAGACTGAAAGCCATCTTCGAGGGATAGGGAGAGATGACGAGAAGAAATGAAGGTTTCTTGAGTAATTATGATTTGCTAGGGACTGTATACCTTTTTTCACTTAATCTTTATAATTTACTCTGCAAATGTAGGGCTTGATTGTGTGAAGTTCAGCTATTTTAAGAAATTTTCCCAAGGTTAAAAGCTAGCTTTTATTATGTTGAGATGTGAATCCAGGTCTGGATGACTCTGAAGTCTATGTGATTTCTCCTATCACATCACTCTGCCTCCTCTAAGATGCCAAAAATGCCAGATTAGGCACTAATAATTTTAAAAGACAGCATTTTTAGAGTGAAGTATTACAGTTTTATACATCTTAAAACATTTCATAGTAATTTAAAACAAAAATAGATCATGAAATAAATGATTTAGGTATTCGTCATTTCAAAAAGAAAAGTTGACTATATAAATGAGTAGACTAAAAGTATGTAAATTCTGGAAACTACATCTGGGTGAACAGATTCTCTGCTAGATCTCACCACTGTAGAATTTTGTTTTTAGCTATTTGAAAAAGGGGGTGTGGGATAACACATGCACATGTAAAAAAAATTTATAGAAAGGTGTAAAAAAAATCTCTCCATCATTTATTCCTAGTCTCCCCCAAAGGAAATCACCATTAAACTTCTGTTTACATTTCTAGAAACTTCTCTGTGCATATATCAGAATAAATCATATACATCCTTTAAAAATCCCTACTCAACTGGGTTCATTACCTACATTTTATTCTACACTTAGCTTTTGTCACTTAATATATCTTGGAGATCTTCCCACATTAGTACAAGAAGAGCTAACTCATTCTGTTTAATGGCCACATAGCTTTCTATTATATGGATGTATCGTAATTTAAGCAGTTCTCCTCTTACAGAATTTCAGTTGGCAGGGGTTTTAAAATCACAAGCAATGCTATAATAGATATTTCTGCATAACTATCTTGCATACCTTTGGAAATATCCATAGCTTAATTTCTACCAGTGGAACTGCTGGGTTAAAGGGCTGTGCATTTGACATAGCCTTGAACTCTTGGGTCATCAAGCAATCCTTCTGCCTCAGCCTCTCCAGTAGCTGGGACTATAGGCATGCTACCACGCCTGGCTAATGTTTTTAAAAATTTTTCTGATACATATTACCAAACTACTTGCCAGAAAGGCGGCACCAAGTCACACCCTCACCAATAATCAACGCTCTTACCGAGTCTGGATATCATTTAACAACAAAAATAAAGCCTGCCTATCTGCTAAGTGACATGATTCATTCCTGTTCTGATCTGCATTCCTTAATTACAAATGAGGCTGGCACTCTGTACTTAGTTTACTGGTCATTTGTGGTTTTCTCTTATAAAATCAATCACATCCTTGATGCAAATAAATTGGGCAATTAATCTTATTGATCTGTAGGGCTTTTTGTAAATTCAGGAAGTTAACTTTATCCTATGTTGTGATTTTTTTTCAGTTAGCTGATTTTATAGATTTTTTTGCCAAAATGAAATTTACATAAAATAACTACTCTTGCTTTTATCCTTTGCTCCAGGGTTTGTGTCAGACATAGGAGGGCATTTACA